AGGACATTATCTAAACTATCAGATTTATCTTCTGAAACACCAAAAACACTAGAGGAATCAGAAGGATTTTAATTTTTCTTGCCCTTTTTATTTTTCAACTTAAAATAATCATGCTTATAATGGTCAATTTTGTAACGATAGAAACATTCAACATTATTATGTTTCTTCCTAGACTGTAAACAATATCTAGATTTTCCTTTTCTTTTATTTGAATTTCTTTTAACGAATCGACCTCTATTATTATTAGATGAATTATCATGACGATCTTTTACAAATAGACCATCGGCCTAGCATCACTGCCCTTACTGTTCAATTTCGTATGCAACTCCTTAGAATTTATAGAGGATTTTACATCAATTAAAGAGATTGAGTCTCTCCCATACAACATCGAATTAACAAAAAATTAGCAAATGAATAAGGCAGCAAGCATAACACAATCAAGGCATGTTCTTCAACCCCAATTCCCCAATTTTAATTTCAATATTTTTCAAGTCAATAATGATTTTGTTAAATTCATCAATATGTTAATTAATGGATGTACCTTCCTTCATCTTGGGTGTATCCAACCGTTGTTTCAGATACAAGCTGTTGGCAAAACATTTCTTCATATATAAACTCTTCAACGTTTTCCATGGCCCTTTGGCTTTTTCTTCATCGACGACCTCATAAAGAACTTTATTGGTAAGAGACAATTGTATTACACTATGTGTTTTTTCTTCAATATCATCAACCTTAGTTTGATCTGTCTCCTTGGATAGAGATCCATCAATGGCCTTTGCCAAACTCCGTTGATAAAGCAATGCCTTCATCTTAATCTTCCATAAACTGGAATTTTTCTGACAATCAAATTTGTTTATCTCAAATTTTGTTGTAGCCATCCCGACAACAATAGCTCTGATACTAGTTTTTTATGCTCAGACCCCTAAAGCCCAAACTCCGAGGCTAGAAGCCTCTACCTCCCATGTACCTGGTCCACTGGAGCCCTCAGCACCCTATTTGCCCATACCTAAACCTGCTATACTCTTGCCTGAGTGCCATACAACACCTAAGCAAGCGTCCCTCACTAACATGGTGTCATGCTGGAAATTGTATGTAGAAGGATCCTCCACCAATAAGGGTGGCACCGTAGGACTGGTACTAATCAGCCTGCATGGCACTCCACTGAAGTACGTTGTCTCCCTCCACATTATGGCATCAAACAACCAAGCTAAATATTAGGCCCTCATATTAGGCTTGAACCTTGCAATGGAGATGGAAGCCCTCTGCCTGACCTCTTATAGTGACTCACAATTGATAATCAATAAGGTAAAGGAAGACTTTGAAGCGAAGGAGGAAAAGATGCAAGAATACTTGTTAGTGTTCCAAGCTTTACTAAAAATATTTTACCACTTCTAGATACACCACGTACATAGAGAGGATAATGCCATAGCAAATGCCCTCACCAAGTTCGCATCTGCAAACATATTCATGGGCCTAGCACTGATAGGCCATCAGTTTGAGCCAAACAAGCTTAAGGTAGAGGATGACGATGTTAACTGTGCATCCTCCAAAGCCAATTGGATGACCCCTATCCAGACCTACCTAGAAGAAGGCACTCTCACCTATATCCCAGTGGAAGTCAAAAAGTTGAGAATAAGAACGTCCAGGTAAGTTATCTTACGTGACACCCTTTACAAGAAAAGTTATTCACTACCACCATTCCGCTGCCTCTCCCCAAGGAAGCAGATTATGCCATGAGGGAGATCCATGAGGGGATATGTGGAAACTACTTAGAAGGGACTCACAAGGCATTAAGGCAAGGCTATTACTGACCTAGCATCATCAGAGTCGCCCGTGAGTTTGTGAGAAAGTGTGACAAGTGTCAGTGCTTCGCAAATGTGCTCAGACAACCACCAGAAGAGCTCACCACCATGCTGAGCCCATGGCCTTTATCTATGTGGGGGATCGACATTTTGGTTCCCCTACCTATGAGTTAGGGCCAGTGAAAATTTATGGTAGTAGCCATTGACTAAACTAAATGTGTAGAAATCGAGGCCTTAGCTATGATAACAGACCAGCAGGTGAAAGACTTCATCTAGAGGAGCATAGTCTGCCGTTTTGGGGTACCTTATGTCATATTAAGATCAAGCAACCCCATTCTAGCCTAGCCAATCCATAGGCGAATGGGCAGGCAGAGGTCACTGTTAGAACCATCCTCCGTAACCGAAAGATCAGATTGGAGAGTGCAAAGGGGCAATGTGTGGATGAACTCCTACGAGTACTATGGGCGTATCAAACAACGCCAAGAAGCCCCACGGGTGAAACCCCTTTCTCCTTAACCCATAGGATAGAGGCGGTCATACCAGTCAAAATGGGGGTACACTACCTTAGATTCTAACACCATGACCCTACCACTAATGAAGAAGGCCTCTACATCAACCTCGACTTGGTAAAGGAGGAGAGGGAGATAACTATGCCCATGAATGCAAAGTACAAGCGTCACATGACTAAGTACTACAACTTGAGGCTGAAGACTCGCTCCTTCTTGCCTGGGGACCTAGTCCTCAAAAAGGTCATCCTATCTACCAAGGACTCTTAGGAAGGGAAACGATGTCCAAATTAGGAAGGACCCTACATGGTCACAGAAGTCATAAGAACGGGCACCTAAAGAATTCTGAATTTTGAAGGAAAAGTCCTGGCCAATACATTGAATGCATAAAACCTTAAGAGGTACTACCAATAGCAAGGGGCAAGTCAGTGGGTGCATAAGTTAGTAGCCATTATTTAAACCATCTCTGGTTGTTTTAGTCAATTTTTGTTGTTATCTACTTCGAATTATGAAATAAAATTTTGCAAAATTGTCTTTTTTTAAAAATGTCTCTCGTTCCATAGAAGTTCATAAAATATTTACAAAAGATAGAACATAACCTAGCAACAAAAAGAGACACATGTAGATAAAAGAGTCATACTCCTGATATCATTCACTACTCCCCAATCCACTCTCATCAAAGCACTCCTCCTCGTCATCAATACCTAGTGCCTCATAGGGGACGAAGCCAAAAAAGTCATAGGTAGGAAAAGCTACTGAGACCTTCCCCTTAAGTTCCTTATAACCTTCGATAAAGGCACATACCATGGCATCTCAACAGCATCCCTCCTCTTCTCCATCTCAATGGAGTGAGGCCCTGCCCTTGGTAGCTCTCTTAAGAGCTACTCGAAGGTCAGCCTATGCCATGGTAGCCCTCTCTTGAGCTATCTGTAGCTCACCCTCTCGTAGGACGCTTGCAGCTCTGTCTCTGCTCTCACACAAGTAGCCTCTTTATCATCCTCCAACTAGACGACCCTCTCACGGGACACCAAAAGCTCGATCTCAAGGGTGTAACTCTCTCCTGTGCTAGCCTCAACTATTCCTCGGCAACCTCTTGCACCTACCTCTCGAGCTCCAACTGCTCCTCTGCAACCCCCTTGTGCATGTCTCTTTGTTGCTAGATCTCTAAATGTCTCTCCAGGCTTCACCGTACTTGAAAACAAGCAGGGAAAAGCAGTAGCTACCTACAAGCATGCAAAAAGTAGGACATGAGGGAAAATAAACGGGTACAAAATCAAAGATGAGTAAAAGGAATACCATAGCAAAGCCTTCCATAGCAGTGTCAATGATGCCCTCTAGACCTCAAGAGTCGACCTCTTGTATCTTCGTAGTGGTCACAAACCCCTAAAGTTGCTCCTTGGCCAGATTCACATCTTGCAACATGGATACCAAACCACTACTAGAAGCAGGGCAGCTATGTGGAGCTCTGGTCCTCGTAGGAGCCCATACTAGAGCCTCTATCCCTATAACCATACTAGGGCAAGCTCTAGAATGCGATGGAGTCATAACTGAGGGAGGAATGGGGGCATCACCAGGTCCCGCCTCATGGGAACTAACCTGGCCAATGGACCCCGATTAGGAAGCGCTGGGGGAATCAAACTTCGCCCACTTAGAGGAAGGAGGGGAAGATGCCACCTTGGAAGCATCAAAAGCCTTAACCAACACTCTATCAATAGTGGAACCTGTCGAGTTAGTGTGAGACGAAGAGCCTACAAATTTATAACCAGCAAAATTCAATTGGGAAGATCAAATACCTTTCCTTTTATACTTAGGAGAGGCTCTGGGACAACCCGATGTAGACATGATGGCCAAAATCTCCTTGAAGGGGTGATCCCGCATGATTTAAAGCCTATTCTACTACTCTAAAGATAACATGGGGGAAGCTGCAAAATACCACATTCACAGTAAGTACAGAGACACGATAACTAGGTGTTGGAGCAAACGTAAAAATCCTTACCTTGCTTGGTCCTTGGAGTAATGTCCCACCTCTAAGGCACTAAATCACGATCTTCTTCAATTGCTAAATCACCTGCAACTAAGAAGAATCTATACTTCTAACTGTGGCAATTTGAGGGTAGACTAGTATTAAGCTTGCCCGACCTCGAGGCAAAGTGGTACCACCCTTGATAAGGAGTAGGATTCTCCAAAAGTACGTACAAAATTAAAAACTCCTCAAAAGGGGAGGAACATCTGCACCATGGACCAGCTGCCATATTCAAAAGAATGTCAGTATCACCCTCCAACTGTTGGGAGTCAACCTCCCTAGAGTCAGTGATAAGTGTCTTAGAACCTGACAGATGGGCCCAGGTATGGAAAACCTTAACCCCACTTCTAGGATGTCCTCGTAAAAGACAATCTCTCCTAAGATGTCATAGCACGCCAGCTCGTCCTTCTTGGCCCAACAACACATAATAGCAAGAGGGATATGGTATGAAGATAAAATGCGGATGATATTATCATCCAGTCTATAGAACTAAATATAGAGGATTCCTTCTACCCATCGCCTTCAGTAGTCCCTCTACCTTTGTGCAGAGTCTGTGTAATATTTGTCACACTGCGCCCACCACTTCGGGTAGCTAAAAACGTAAAAGCCAATAAAAAGTGAAGGGCGCTAGGATTGGCAAAAAATCATGAATAAGGTTAAGTAACCCAGTCAAAAGGCGATACTTGGTTTCTTTCTATAGCCTCGTCCATTAGCTCTAGGCTCTTCACTTAGCGGGGTCTCAGTGCCTAAGTCTATTTTCCCCTCGTTTGGACCTCCTCTTCCAGCACCCAGCTTGCAGCAAGGACCATTGCCCAATGCCCCATTGGTAGTGCAGAGACCACCTGGCACATAGTTGGCGCGACTCAGCACACCCCTAGCACTGCCCAACATGCAGCTGGCATCATCCAACTCGCAGTTGGCATCGCCCGACATCCAGCTGGTGTCACCCCTCTTTCTTATGTTGGTGCTAACACCCATGACTAAGGGGTCGACTAGGTTTCCACTCCAGCCCATGATGGCGTCGCTTGCCTCGTTTCCACTATAACCCATGATGGTGTCATCTATTTCATTCCCCATGCTATGGGCGCCCTCCTGACTTCTAACGGTATGGCCACCAGTGTCATAGACGTCTTTTTCCTCACCTCCAATGGCGTCACCAGCACCATAGCCTCCTCGCTCCTAACCTCTAACGGCATTGCCAACATCATGGGTGCCTCCCACTACACCTCTCACAGCTTTGCCAGTGCCATGGATGCCACCCTCATTGTGCCTCTTGGCGTGGCCTGCATTGCCTCTTGTTGCACCACCCCTTCGACCTCCAATTTGCTTGGGCTTGGGAGATCCTATGGCACCAACCACCCCTGGTTTTGAGGTCATCTTCCTCATCATTTTCCCTAACCTCTCTCTTGCAATAGTTTATGGAATAGGTGGGTGAAGGGTTTAAAAACCCTAGTTATAAAGGGAAATATTAGGTAAACTGGGGAAGACCTTTTAAGTTCTGAAGATTGGTGCCCTAAAAAAAGAGATTCAAGTTCAGTAGAAACTGAACATAGAGGAGGCTAGCAAGTGCCATGTGTGCCCAACCATGGAGTTATAAGAAGCTCCGTGATTGAGAAAATGAAGAAACTACCGTGCAGAACAAGAAACCTTTTGCCTATTCAATGAAGAGCTCACTCATTCCCTCAATCTCCTTGACACAAAAAGGACTTGGGGCATTGGGGGCAAATGATGAGCCCAGATCTTGTTGGGTTAAGCCCAATTAATTAAATAAATCCCAAATTAGCTACGAATTAGGTCAAGCCCAGTTCATGAATTGGGCCTAAACCAAGATTCAAGGGACCTAGAAGGATTAGAGCATGTGGGGAGTAATTACCAAGATTGTCACTCTCCTGGATCAAGACTATCTCTAACTGTACCTATCCTAGTTGTAGCTATTCTCCCTGAAAAAGCTAGAAACCTACCCTCTACAACCACAGCCTCAACTAAGGCTCTGTGCCTATAAATTGTAAGCCCCTTCCATATGAGAGGGGCATCTCTCTACACACCCTTTACACAGTAATTCCTCTCTCATACTTACTCTGAGCTTATCATTGTTCTCCCTCTCTCACCTTACATTATTAATAAAAGTTTTCAGCCACTGTCGCTGCCTTCGAAGTGGAATAGGTCACCTTGACTGAACACTATACATCTGTGTATTGCTAGAGCTGACCTAATCTGTGCCTTCTATTATTAATTGCTTTACTGATTGTCTCATTAATTATAAGGAATCACATATTTATAGACTCACTAGTGACTTTTCATAAAGGGTTTAACCATATGCAATGGTACCTTTTAGTCCAAAGGGTGTCAATAGTGACTTTATGAAAAGGTACAACCATTTGAAATGGTGTCTTTTAGTCTAAGAATATCAATGCGATTTTATGAAAAATTGTGACTATTTGTAATGGTGTTTTTTAACCAAAAAAGTGTTAATGGTGAGTTTATGAAAAGATGTAACTATTTGGATTGGTGTATTTAACCAAAGTCACCAATTTTGAATTAGTAGCCTTCCATGTCATATTCACTTCATTACTTAATTTTTAAAAAAAATAAATATACCAATATTTCCAACAATCCCCCACATGAATGAAAATTCAATATATGATAATGCAGGTGCTAGTTCAAGTATAAGTGAAAGGTTTCTACATCTGGATAATTAGTCAGTGGCCTTGAACTTTCCAAAGTGACAAACTATCAGATTTACTTGGCCAGCTAGTGGACATGATATCTTTGAACTGTTAGCCGTTTGTGTAAACCAAGACAGCAGAATTCACACAGTATCCCTTAGGTTACAGTTGGTTCTCACATTTGTGTTCATTTTGACCTTCAACACCACTTGGTTTCATGAGTAATTTTAGTAATCAACCTACAATTCTCATAGAAGCGGTCCCTTCTTGTAACGTCCCAAAACACACCCTGGACGGCATTACATTCTAAAACCATTCATATCATGAGGGCACTAATATAATCCTTAAGAAACAAGACTTCATTTGTCATCCACGAATATTTACAACATTATCCAAAAGAATAAGCCCCAAGTCATGGCTATTACATCTCAAAAATTAATTAAAGAAGCGCAGCGGAATAAACAAAAGAAGCTAGACTACACAATGTTCCAAAAGAATGTCCTAGTCTAGTACAAAAGGAAAGGAGGTCGCTCTATGCATCCACCTCGGGATCCATACTCCCGTCCAGTGGAGTCTCCCAAGTAGCGGGCTCCTCGACCCTTACGTCCTCCTCCTCAAGCGGGTAATCTGAAAAATGTTAGCGATAGGGGGTGAGCACGAAGTTCTATAGAAAAATTCTCCCAAACCCATACAAGGTTTAGAAAGCATTTAAAACTGTCGGTCTCAATTTTAACATAACATAGATACATAATTTGAAATAAACCAGTGACATTTAAAAAGGATCTCAAGTTTATTTAAAAATATTACTTAAATGAATAAACGAGCACCACATACAAATAATAACCATTAATTGTCATAACCAATTCCCAACAATTCTTTCGTAGGTGACATACTTTGTGGTAACCTCCAGCCCTCTTTAGGTCACTTTTGATTCTCAAGCATCCTTACCGGGAACCTCTTGAAAATGGATGAGCATCCTTACATGGAACTCTCACCAATCACTATATTATTTTTCAAGCATCCTTACCGGGAACCTCTTGAGAAGGGGTGAGCATCCTTAAAACGAACCTCTCACTCATGTGCTCAATTTACAAGCATCTATCCAAAATCCCCAAAATATATCATATAACAATTCCACAACCAACTAAGAAAATACATGAGATCACAATAACATCATTTTTTTACCCAACACAAAGCACTAAGATTTCAAAATCCATAATAAAGAAAGCATTTAGGAAGAAAATACATCACTCTCCAAAAATTAGGGTTTTAAAACTAGAAAGGAGATTTCATGGGTATTAAACCCTACTTTGTTCAAAACATGTAATCCTTGCAAAAAGCCTAAGAGAGGATGTTTCCATAGCATATATATACCATTGATAGCCAAAAAATACATATATAAATACCCTAACCTCAATGTAAGTGAATGAGAGAAAACCCCTATCTTGAATCCTTAGCTTTGGTGTGAAAAACAAGAATATTTGATCTTGAATCACTCTTGAATCTCTTGTTTTTTCCCTTCCTTTCTTTTTCTCTAATGCTCTCTAAGGTTTCAAGAGGTGTGGGGGTGTGAGAGGAGTGAAGAAAATGAGAGAAAATGAGATGAAAATGAGTTTAAAACATAGCAGTCCCGAAAAATATTATTCACAGGTTGTTTTGGGTTTCTCCAAATTTACGATTTTACCACTAAGAATTTTCAATTTGATCCATATGACTACCCTAAGGTTTGTCGACATTTTGGATTCATTTTTAATGTTATTTTAACCTAAAAATATTTATTTTTATGATTTATCTCAAAACCCAAGTCAACGTACACCCGAAACACTAAAATTTCTATTTTACCCATCTGAATCGGCTATTAATGAAGTTTTGCGATGTTTGCAAATAAAAAGTGATAAAGGGTGTTTCTTAAAGACTTTTATACTTATTTGAAGCCTAAAAGTACTCATTATTCTTATATTTTGATTTAGGATATAAATGGAGACATTAAATGCAAAACGAAACTAATTGGACTATTTCAACATCATTTCGTTATCTGAGCATAACTCTCTCATCCAAGCTCTGATTGAGATGATTCAAGATGCTATGGAATGATACAAAAGAGCTCTAAAACTTTCATGTTTTGAGTTTTAAGAGATATGCACTGCATCAAGGTCTAAATCGAGCTTGACGTTGCAGCAGTGCACTATTCACGTGCACTATTCACAGCCTGTCTTCGTCTTTTTTCCATTTCCAATTCATTCCTAAGCCTACCAAATCTATCCCAAATCTCCCCAACACATATTTCTACACCAAAACCTATTTAGGACCTAAAATTTCATATTTTCATTTATTAAAACCAAATTTTAACTATTATTTTCACTAATATTTTAAATCTCTACTTTTCTAATCTACCAAATTCAAACACACATCACTACATATATCCACATTTTTTTTATTACAATTATTTACTATATATCTATATACATATATAAAAGAAAATGCAGGGTGTTACAATTTACCCCCCTTAAAGAAAGTTTCGTCCTCGAAACTTACCTCAAGTAGTAAACAAATAAGGATATTTCTCTCGCATTTTTTGCTACGGTTCCCATGTAGCTTCCTCCACTCCATGGTGTTGCCACAAAACCTTCACCAATCTGATAACTTTGTTGCGAAGCACTTTTTCCTGGGCGTCGAGTATTTCTACTGGTTGTTCTTCGTAGGTTGCTCTGTCTTGAATTTCAATCTCCTCCAAGTTCACGACTGGAGTTGCATCCGAGTGACACCTTCTCAACATGGACACGTGGAACACATCATGTACTCCGGATAGCTGGGCTGGTAATCGAAGTTGATATGCCACCTTGCTTACCGCTTTGATTACCTCAAACAGTCCGATATATCTTGGCGCTAACTTCCCCTTCTTGCCGAATCGAAACACGCCTTTCTTGGGTGACACCTTGAGAAATACGTAGTCTCCCACCTTGAATTCTAAGGGTCTTCGTTTGTGGTCCGCATAGCTCTTCTGTCTACTTTGCGCCGTCCGTAGCCTCTCTCGGATGAGTTGAATCTTCTCCGTAGTTTCTCGAACAATGTCCGGTCCAAACAAACTACTCTCGTCGGCTTCTAACCAACACGTCGGTGATCGGCATGGTCTTCCATACAATGCTTCATACGGTGCCATCCTAATACTTTCTTGATAGCTGTTGTTGTAAGCAAACTCCACCAACGGTAAGTGGTCGCTCCAACTCCCCTTGAAGTCCAACGCGTAAGCGCGTAACATATCCTCCACAATCTGTATCACCCTCTCGGATTGGCCATTCATTTGGGGATAAAAAGCCGTACTAACGTGTAACTCCGTCCCCATCGCTTGTTGTAGACTCTGCCAGAATCTCGCCACAAACCTAGAGTCACGATCCGACACAATCGAGAGCGGAACGCCGTGTAACCTCACTATCTCACGGATATACAGTTGACTCAAAGTCTCGAACGTATCCGTGGTCTTCATACCCAAAAAGTGAGTGGACTTGGTGAGTCTATCCACAATGACCATGGTGATGTGATCCCATTTCCACTCTGGAATAGGAAAAGACTGTAGGACTCCTCCTGGCCTTTGATGCTCAATCTTCACCTGTTGGCACACTGCACATTTTGCCACATACTTGGCCACATCTCGCTTTATTCCCCTCCACCAGTATTGACGCTTCATATCCCTATACATCTTTGTGCTACCGGGGTGGATAGCAA